ATCTGCTGGTGCGCGAGTCACGGGTGCGCTGCGGGACTGCTGACCCGCCAGGCTGAAGGCCGCGTGGGCCGGGCCCGGGAGGTCTTGAGGACAGGGCGACTGGAGGGGGCCGGTGGAGACGGCAGACGTGCACTCAACGATAGGGATGCGTCAAAAAACGAGTGACATAGCGGCACCGACCCTTCATACGTTTATAGGCCCTCTATTACGTGGAGTAAAGTGACAGGATTCTGGGCGTGCGCCCTGACCTGTGAACTGGAGACCTCGCTTACCGGGTAGTCCTCGGGCCGGTTGCCCGTGTTGGTCGCGTATATGTGCTGGAAGATCTCCATGGCCTGGTCGCTGTGGCCCTGCGTGAGGAGGAACTTGGGGCTCTCCGGCAGGAAGCAGAGCAGACCCGCCACCAGGAAGCTGGGCACGGAGCACAGCAGCAGGAAGATGCGCCACGAGTTGTAGAGGAACGTGGGCGAGTGGTAGCCGATGCCGCTGGGGATGATGAGCCAGGCCAAGCTCGCCACGAACAGGTTGCCGAGCGTCCAGAAGGCCGCCATAAAGCTGAGCATGGAGCCTCTCTTTTGCTTCGGCTGGAACTCGGCAAAGTAGGACCAGATCACTGGGCCACTGCCGCCGAGACTGCAACACGGAAAAGAGATGTGTTCGCAAATGAGTAAAGTGTAAGTTGAAGTGGTCACCGCGGTGCGGAACGAAAACGTTTCACCAATCATGGACCCCTTCTTTAACGAAATGCACTCACGCGGCCCCGTTGAGGAATCTGAAGAGCATAAATAGTTCGTATGACTGGGAGAAGCTGGACGCCACGATGCACACGGCGTTCATGAAGGAAATGACGATGAGGACCTTCTTCCTGCCCAGCGAGTCGGCCACAGAGCCCCAGGCGTACGCGCCGGCCATCATCCCGATGAAGATGATGCTGTTGAGCCAGCCCTTGGTGTGGGTGCTGAGGTGCAGGTCGCACTGCGCCGAGGGGAGGATGAACGACATGGAGATGACGTCCATCTCCTCGCTGGTGGAGACGAACCCGCACACCATGAGCAGGAAGTAGTGGAAGCGGCCATAGCCTGCAACAGGAGAGGTCAGCTGTCTGTGTGGAGCGGAGCGAAATTTTTTCCGGAAAAAACTAACTTTTCCGGTACCGTAAAGATGGTAAAAATGAATTTTCAGAAAAGTTGGAAAAAATGAAACTTTTCAGGATAAAATTGAGAGATTAGAAAAAAATCTTGATTCGTTTTCCAAAAGTACTCAACCGGAAAATTGAAATCCCTAAGCATGATTTGGCGCAAATACCTCGCGCAGAACGTCTTCGCGAGAGACTTACTCTTGTGATTGCGATTGACATTTCTCATCACTGACAATCTCACCTGTAAGTTCGATGGCCTTCTCGAAGTCGGCCTTCTCAAAGTTGCCCTTCTCTACCTCCCCGGGCAGAGCCGACTTGGCGTTCTTCACATCTGTAACATGAGGACGTGAAAGAAACGCAAACCTATATTGAAACAAAAGTTAGTCAACTGAAGGCGTACTCACCGCCCAGCTCGATCTCCGTCGAAGGGCGACACTGTCGGCCGTTCGACCCTTTGTGATTCACATGGCCGTCTGCAAAGATAAACAAAGCGCGTTTAACGGTATGCTTCCCCGAGGAGCGCGCTGTGCACCCTCACATAAGGTGTCACGTAGAGTTGATAAGTTGTCCGCAAGCATTGCCCAGTAAAGCAGCGGAGAGGCTGTGGGACGCATTCAGCTTCAAAGCACTGATGTCTCGACCTGCGTGTCATCCCGCCACGTGAGCGTGCAGCCCAGCAGGGTCGAGGGCAGGGGCCCCCGGGTCCAGGGTCGACCCCGCACCGCAGCCAATGCATTCGGTCGGGTGGCAGAGCCGGGCAGAGCCGGGCAGAGCCGTGGCCTGAAGAGAGTCCGAGTCTCCATGAGACCATTCAGTCCGGGCGTCGGATCCCGCCCTCTCTCCCATCCTCCCCATTGTCCCATGCCACAACCGGGTGCGCCGCCTCCCCGCACCCAACCCTCGTGGCGACCGACGTCCGCCCTGTAACGCAGACCGACTTGCCTTGGACGGTTTAGAAATTATGAGAACTATTATCGAGAGCGACGACTGTCCTTTGCGTGGCCTCGTCCTCGTGTTCCACATGCAACGATATCAGGCCGGCGTCGACGCAAAGCCACTTCGGGCACCTGGTCGAGCGCCCCATGCCCCTGCACTGCATCGACAAACTGACTAGACCCAAGTTTCATCGCTGCCTGTTGTTCTGAAGCTCGGTGCTCCCTTTTCACTCACAGTAAACAAAGCCTCCTTGATCACTTCATCTCAGATCTAGGCCGTGTCCTTTTCATTCAGTGAGGTTTAGCAGTTTA